TGGCAGACAGACAGAAGCTGACTTGCCTTTTCCATGCTCTGTGACTGAGACAGAACCTTTGAGGGTGTATATAGAGTGGGCATCATCTGTCTTGTTACAAGCATCAAGAGAACATACTCCTAACTGTTCTGCAGAAGATACAGTTCATTTGTTCTCCATTAGACAGTCTGCAGACCAAGGTGAAAGAAAACAGTAAAATCTTGACCCATCTGGGAATATTGGAAGAAAGCTGCTTTAACCTTTAGATCATCAATTATAAGCTCAGCCCTGCTTTGTAATATGCAAAGATTGTTCTAATTTTCCTGTACCAGCTCAGTTGTAAATGAATATTGTGAAGACATATAGTGCTGCAGTGTAATAGGCAATGCCAGCATATATTAGTAATTTTCTGTAAACAACAACTAAACTAATAACTTGCTTTCTATTATCCAAGCTTTAAGATACAAAAATATAAAAAGAATTGAAATACACAAGGGATTAAATTTACAGGTCAATAAGCTATTAATTGTTTGATTTTATGATCTACAGGTGTGTTTTTTAACTTAAAATATATGAATTTGAATACTGCATTAGAGGAGCGTTCCTTCTTTAGAAATCTTGAATGTAACTTGTTTGTTAAGGGGAAACCTGACATTTCTGTTGTCCGTTCGTGGTTTAACCCAGATGTAATATCAGCTACTTGGAAGAATGGCTTAAGGACAAGAATCTTCAAAGCAGCAATGCCAAAGAAACTTTGGAGCCTCTGTCTCAGGCAGCCTGGCTCCTTCAGGTCAAAAAGATCACAGATGATGATGCCAAGGAAATATGTGAACACTGCACATCTCTTTCTACTGTGCAGGTAATGAACCATCTGTTTTCTCCTGGCAGCACCAATTGCAGATTCTTAGCTATCTAAAATAATTTGTTGCAAAAAGCTATTGGCCTTTCATTTAATTAAAATAGCGTTCCCCAGCATTCCACATCACCACTTCTTAAATTGAATTTTTAACTCCTTATTCCTGATTGCTACTATTTTAACTGCTCCCGTGGTGAATACGTGCCTGCTTTGTTCTATCCCGTGTTTTTATTCCGCAGTGTATATTCTTTACTTTGTCACAGGCTTTTTTTGTTGTTTCCCTTAATCAGTTCAGCTTTTTCTACATCTCTTTGATCCTGCTGACAGCTATGGAAATGAGTCATAGCAATCATCATGTATGTAGCAACTCATTAGGTGACCAGTCAAAATTTTGTCACATATGACAGTAAAGATATATTAATGCTTTCTTCTTTTTGTCTTCTCCCTTTTTGTGACGTACTAAAATAGTGTTTTGTAATTTGAACAGATAGTTAAGATCCTCAATTCATACACTCCGATAGATGACTTTGAGAAAAGAGTGACTCCATCATTTGTTCGTAAAGTCCAGGTAAGAACTACAGCTATTATTTCTCTTACTCGTGTTACAGGATACTTCATACACATAGTTTCTGATGTTATGTAGTTAGAGTTGACCTTCACATCATACTATTACTAAGATGGTCAGCTTCTAGACATTTGGAACTGATCAAAACAAGTCTCCTTAACATTATATGAAAGCAAGATTTGCAATGGAAAGCAAACAATATACTGGTTTTGCTTTTATTTCTTAATACAATATTTTCTTACCCTTTCTGTTATAATTTCAGGCTATGCTAAACAATCGTGAGGATGCTCCACAGCTGATGCTTGATACCAATTATCTGTTTCAAGTGACGTTTCCTTTCACCCCCTCTCCACATGCCTTGGAGATGATACAAGTCCCCAGCAGCTTCAAACTTGGCTTTCTCACAAGGGTTTAATAAAACCAATACATTTCCTCAGAAACTATGTAAAGACAGACTTTCATGGGTCATTTAACCAGCTGATGGATAGTATGGCAGCTTGCAGTGAATTAAAATGTAAAAAACTTGTTCTTGAGTCAAGACTTAAAAAGTAGGAAAAATTTCAGCTTGTGACTTCCTTCTCTCTTTTCTTACTCTTCTCCCTTCATTACAGTCCTGCAGTGATGACTGTATATCATCAGCTGACACAAAGCTAACCATACAATTTTTTAGCCCAAACCTGACAAGAAAATGATTTATTTGACAAATTTGCTTTGGTGCCCTGTCAGACTGACACATGATAAAGGTTATTACTTTGCAATTTTCCTTGCCTTCACTTCCTGTAACAAGACGTGTTTTTTTCCAGAGTAATTCTGTTCATTGCCGTGATATACTGGATCTGTTTTACAGTAGCTTTCACCCTTCTATGCTTCTTATACCTTTATTCCTTTCATAAAAGAAGTCTTTTATAACAGTTCTTCCGGAAGACTGTAGTAGGAGGGAAGGGGATGTCCTTCCACAATTGTTTTAAAAAAATCAATATAAATAGCTACATTGAAACTGGGGAACTGAGATCAGTCTAAGAGAATTGCCATTACAAACCCACATTGTCTTATTGTAGGCATGCTGGCTTTGCTCACTGAATGCTTGCACTGCAGCTCAGGCACACTACACAGCTCTTCAGCCAGGGAAAGAACTCAGGTGCTCTTCTTGAAGACAGACTCCTGTTTTGTTCTCTTCAGTGACAAGTCTGGATTTTCATATTAGTCATAATAGAAAAAGCAGATATAAAATTCATGTCATGATCCAGGTTTGAATTACAAGCTTGTTTCTCTGAAAAACAGGAGTCATGTCTGGTTTGGTTCCATCTCTGGTGCAGTGTACTTCAGAACATACACTGGGCATGCACACATGTGCACATCATCTTTCTCCCTTTCTTTTTTGCTGGTTTCCCTCTTCCAGTCCAGACACCGAGTAGGAGTGAATGCAGCTACTGTGGTCTGGTCTTACTGGTAAACCGAGCTCAATTCCCTACATTTCCTCTTTAGTTATTTCATTTCAATTGCAGGATCCTTAGAAGCAGAAGCAGGGCCCTTTTTGCTTTGTTCAGCCTGTAGTCAGAATGCAGCAAACAGTAGCTTTATTTAGTACCGGACCCTGTCAGAACAACTGGAGAAAAAGCATTCACCTCACCATAGTGATGACTGTCCCTAGAAATTCCTCAGTAAATAATGCTAATTTTTTAGCTAGTCTGTTAGACATAGTTATTAAAATTGAGTACTAAAGCTTTGAAATATGTAAAGGATTGTAATTAATTTAGTTAAATTAAATATTACAGGAAGGAACAATTTATTTGATTTTTTTTTAATTATTATTATTACACAGTACTACTTGTTTAATTTTACAGACCAATCTGTAAATATAAAGAAGAAATCATTCTTGCTATTTAGTGTTCTTGGTGTTTACTATGTACAGTGAAATATTCATGTTGCTATCCACAGAGATATATTCAAAAAATATGAAGGAAAAATTTTGTGGTTTGTTCAATAATAATAAAAGCTGTACAAAATATCATAGATGTGTAGGTAGGCTAGTATTTTAATCTGTTAAATAAAGTAACTTTTAAATCATTTTGTCGTGCTTTGAGTGGTGCAGTAGTTGTGGTTTCAGCACGGGATCACTGAAAGAAGTTACTTGGAACTATGTGAACATTAGTGAATACTGTCAGTCTTGTATTGCACCACAAACATTTATTTAATGGTCCAGTTGCTTTGCTGTAACGTGTATCTTCCAGTCAGAACAGTATGCTGTCTTGGCTCATGAATTTCTGTAATTTGTGTATAGTCTTTTTTTTTTTTTACAGTTACTGGAGCTGTGTGTCTGTTAACTGGGATGGTATGAATGAAATCACAGCCCACTCTTACGTCTACATCACATAGAAGCATCAGAAGGCATGTATGTGTTTGACAAAAATTGTTAATCAAGGAAAATTGTTCTGACAATTTGATGCTAGGTTACTGTGAGAGGTTTGTGTGAAGTGTGCTATTAACACTGTGTATGCAACAAGAAAATATATTTTTAAAAGAAAGTTCAAAATTATCAGTGTCTACTGTACGGTCTCAAAAACTTACCTTGCTTTTGCTGACATTAATGCCTTCAACCATTGTGTAATACAAAATTGTGCTTGGTATCTGTAATTCTTCTAAATATAAGGGGATGTTTTAGGGAAGGCAGATGGATGGAAGAAGCATTACTGAAGTTAACTTTATTAGAATGATAGAAAAGGAGAAGGCTATTTCATTCAAATGGGGAAATGTCAAATTATGATCTTTACTGCAGTGAGAAAGCACTGCAATGGCTTCTGGAGAGATGTGGAAGATGCTTTTGGCGTCTTTGGATGTGTTTAGACATGTGACTCCTGCAGTTTCTGGGAATAGGTCTCAGCAGCATAGGTGGTCCCTTTCAGTCCTGTGTTCCCATAATGTTTTAATAAAAAAGATTAGGACGGGTTACTTCTACTGAAGTCTCTTCTGGGCTGAGACCTAATTTTTTTCCTTAATATTTATTTATTCATTTTGTCTCAGATCCTCTTGACTATCAAATGCAAACATCTAATGGCATGATTTCAGTGAGTACAGTAGAGTCTCAGTAGTAGATGTGACCTTCAGCACTTTCTAAATTTTTCAGACCTGTTTTCATAAATTTCCCCCCAAATTTTTTCAAAGAATGCAAAACATCAATTTTTAATCTTACTGATGTTAAATTTACTGTCTTAAAACAGGTGAATAATAAAACTATATCCAAGGGAGAACCATCATGGACACTAAACAATTTGTTTGACTAAATTTCGTTAAAGTATATGAGATAAACTTCACATTGACGGTCCTATTTGTCAGAACGTCAACCTGATGGTTGGAAAAATCACTTGTCAGTTAGCTCCCCAGTATATTTCAACTTTAACATTTGGAAACCATCCAAAAATTGCTGCTGTACAGAACAAGCAGGTGCAATCTAGTTTGCCTAATAGTTTGTTCTTTATTCTGTATTCTGAAAGAGGGCAGTTGAAGCCTTTAAACTATAATCATCAATACATAACTGACCTGAGGTGATGCAAGTGGAGAGGCTGAGCTTTAAATACCCTTTAAGTAGACTTAATAGGACGGTTGCCTTTCTACATAAGCAGTTGCGCACAGCTTATTTAGTTGTCTTGCGAATCTCCGGGTCCTTGCTGTTTGAAAAGGTGGATAATTTTGGATATTTATCAACAAGATTAATTGTACAGAATTTCTCTGTAAGTAGCATATTTCTTAATGCTTCACCATGCTACTATTTTTAAATTTCTACAGTAATTTTTAAAGACCTAGTAAGCTTAAAATTTCAGGCTAGAACATATGAAGTTGTAATCTTTTTAGAACTTTGTGGTTTAAATAGTTTATATCTTTATAAAATAGTATACAAATCCATCATTATGACAGATAATCTCAGGTATAATACTGCTTTTTAATTATTCAGAAGTTTTGTTGTCTTCTCTTGTAACAAAATTTTGTAGTATGTCATAATCTCATCTGAAGTAAAATACTGATAGCAGATACAATTCACCCTGTATGTTACTCCAGCAAATTCTCACACTTTATCAAAGATTAATTCTGCCCAGAGTATTTTTTCCAAGCCTAATAGATACCTATTGTCTCTTGATCTAGTAATGATATTTTGTTCAAATAATATGACATTTTTCTTTGTAATACCTTCATTTTACACCTCTGAATTGAAAAATTTCCTCCCAAAGTCTAGTTGGCCTAGTGTCTTCAGGCTTTAAACAAAGTGTATAAATCTGTTATGTCACCTGAGTGGCCCTCAGTGGGAACCACTAATTCCAGGAACCTTGGAATATCAGGTTATCCAGTTGTAAATGTCCAATTTTAAGAATCTAGCAGAACCGAGCCCTGGTGCTGTAGTCACTTTAACACTATGAGCAATACTAGCACAGAGAAGCTCCCTGAAAGGATGGCAGCTTGTGGTCTCAGGCTCGTTGTTTGCTAAAGAATGCATTAAAAACTTCATGACGTATTTGCTGCTTTTCATCAAATGGAATAAAAACCTCCTTGACTGCATGTAGCTAATTCAAACCTCCATGAAAATTTCGGATTAATGTGCTGTAGTTCCTTTCAGGACAGGTTGCTTCCCACATGCTTTGAGATGTATCTCCTGGAGACAACAACAAAACTTTTATTTACATGAGTGTGGGTAGGATTTCTGAGTTTATCATCTCATTTTTCAAGTAGTCCACTGAAACACTTAAGAATAAGCAGCGGAATGCAGGCAGGTACATAGAATAAAGTTTGGTTTGTTTTTTGTATAATGTTCAGCCAAACAAATTGTAAAATCTGCATAGCTCATTGAATTTCTTTTGCTCTATTTAAATCTCTCTTCCAATAGCTTCTTCTAATTGTTAACTGTAAACTCATTATTTATGTACATGTCTAAATAATGTTAAAAGCTTTCATTTTAGAAGTGGTGAAAGGTCCCATTTTTCCCTGTGAAAAATAAACAGAGAAAAATTACACTGCAGTATTATTCCTGTTTGTTTTTCTGACTAAAGTAGTTTTTAATTCTCTGTTGATGATAGTGCTTTGATCCTAGAGATGCCTGGCTTGAGAACAAAAGTGGGTTCATAATGACCCAGCTTTCAGTGAGCTTGAAGCATCAATTTCTGCTCAAGTAGTGCATTGTTCATAATAACTTTTGTAGCTGCTGACTGAATCCTAGTTCATCTTTTAAGCTTTAAAAATAATGCATAATATTGACTAATAATGCAGTGGAAAAACAATAAATATTGATCAGTGCAAATTTCTCACAAATCCAGCTGTTGTAATGCATTTTTGGTTACTGTCAGCTGACAGTAGTTAAGTAAAAACTAAGAGTAATTTCCTGCGTGTATTGAGTTCATGTGCACAGTGCACATTATATCAATGTGTAATCAGTGCACATTATAACACAATCTATATTTTGCTTTGTATTTTTCTTCATAAAAATATAATCCGCAGAGCATGTGATTGTCTTGCATGACAGTTTATCAAGCTCAAGAGATTAGTCACAGAGAGATTATCCAGCCTACAGATGTCTATTTACGGTCTAAGCTGCATTAGCTAGCAGAGCAGTAGTGGGAAGCTTTGTGCTGGACTGGAATGCACTGTTTCCTTCTTCTCTGTCTCTTTCAGCTCTCTCAAACTGCAAAGATGTGTGACCAGACCTTTTTAGCTGATGTATTTGGTCCATGTGACAAGTGCTCCAAAGAGAAGCCCCTTAGGCCTGTTTACGTCGAATCAGAACAACTCAGCTACTGCTCACTATGTGTGGAAATGGTATGTTATTGATTTTATCAACCAGAATGTGGAAAGACTGCAAAAAATGGGGGTTGGGTGTATTAATGGTCTGTTTTGTTGGATTTTTCTGGACAGCAAATAAGCATTGCTAGGGCTATAGACTGCCAGACGCCTCTGCAGGCACCTGGTGTTTCCACAAGCCTGTAACAGAGGTGGCCTCGGGGTTCAAGGATATTTTATGATTCTTGATTGGAAAATGGCCATGAGCTTTTTACCCTAGGGTACTGCATTCCTCAGATGTGCAAATATGTGCCTGTCTAAACTCTGCTCTGAGGCGTATGTGCGCAAGTCTGCTTGGCCTATGATTTTGAGTGTTTCCCATTACCTTTAACAGAAGTTAACAAAAATAGATTAAACCATTGCAACAAACTCATTCACTAGTGACTAGAGGATATGAAGTTCATCTAGGCAGTCTCAATAAAACTGAGACACAAGTGAGGTGCTGTCAGAACTCCTTTGTGGCCCACGTTTCATACTGAGACCGTGTTGTCTCATATGCTATGTGCAGCATTTCGGTGAGAGCTGGAAGTAGCTACGATGAGGATAAGGTGGGAAGAGGTTGCACAGCAGTGGAGTGTCTTCTGTCACACTATGGGTCCATTGCCACAGAAGGTGGGTGGTAACTGGGGAGATTAGCAAACCTGCTGGCATGACCGGCAGGTCCTGCCAGAATACCTGCATGAAGAGGGGACGATGTTGGAGGCTTTCTGATCTCCAGCAATTACTGGTGATACCCACTTTCCTGGTAGGGAGCACTGTTCTAGAGAGATCACGGTGGGTTTTTCACATGAAATACAAAGCTAAAGTAATGAACTTACGTGTTTACTGAAGAGCTGGTCTCCAAAACTCCTTTTGTAGGTTTAAGATTTTGTTGTCCCGATTATACTTCAATTTGAAGTGGTTTTGTTTTATCTTCCAGAACCATTGTGTTTTATAGGTTGGAGAAGTCATCCTTCACTGTTTCCTCCTCAGAACTGGTCTCTACCGTGACTGAGTTAGGGTCCAATAGTTTGTTGTATTTGAGTATCAGATTAAATGATCTCTGCAGGAATGCTAAAAGGTATAACTAGCTGTATTTACAAAACACTGTTTTACAGGCAGGTGAGAGCACTGATTCGGTGATTGTAGGTGGTGCAGTGTGTACAGTTCACTGGCTGATGCAGCACATTCTCATGAATTACATTGTTTAGGAGGAAATTTAGATGTAGTGACTGCAAGACAAAGGACAGTCCCTTCCCAGTTTATTTGCTTCTCCTGACTTTGAAATTGCTGTTCAGGTCCTTCTTGGCTAACAGCCTACAAATAGCTATTTATACAGTAAATTTTTGCATGACTTGATAAATGCATGCTGGAATTGCAAGAAACTGGCTGTCTGTTATTTACAGTTCCTGCAACTTTCTCATTATTTGCATTATGGAAGCTAGACTCTTACCAACTGAAACAGCTGCTAGGCGGAAGCAGATTGAGACTTCAGGAAGAATCGTGTCAGTACTTAACAGCCTGTTAGGCTTTCTGTTAGCACTGCAGTAGGATCTTGGACTTTCTGGTAGACCTGGCTTTAGCTTGCTTCTTCATATTTATTTTGTAAAAGATTTAAAAACAAATATTCAGAACATAGAGAGCTCTTTGCACTAGCATTGAAATACATATGGGTAGGGAAATCATATCCTTTACCTTCTTGAACTGATTTTTCAGAGCTGTGGGTATGCTTTGACTTATATCAAAAGGCACAATATATCTTTGCCATACTTGCGCATGATCATGGGTGCATGTGCATAATGTGGTGTATAACCGATGGGTCTTTTTGCAATCTCCCATTTGCACGTGCAACTCCCAATTTCAGTCCAGCAGATGCACACATGCATTTTCATCAGCCATCCTTTGTGATTTCCCCAAAACCAACATAAGTTGATTTTGATAACAGAATTAGATATTGCTGATTCCCACTGTTGAGATCATCTTATTTCAATTGTTTGTCTCTGTGGTGGGTTGACCCTGGCTGGATTCCAGGTGCCCACCAAAGCTGCTCTATCACTCCCCCTCAACTGGACAGGGGAGAGAAAATATAATGAAAGGCCAGTGGGTGTCAATAAGGACAGGGAGAGATCATTCACCAATTACTGGCACAGGCAAAACAGACTCAACTTGAAAAAGGTAACTTAATTTATTGCAAATCAAATCAGAGTAGGGTAATGAGAAATAAAACAAAACACCTTCTCCCCACCCCTTCCTTCATCCCGGGCTCAACTTTACTCCCAGTTTTCTGTACCTCCTCCCCTCCAGCGGCGCAGGGGGACAGGAAATGGGGATTGAGGTCAGTTCATCACATGTTGTCTCTGCCACTCCTTCCTCTTCAGGGGGAGGACTCCTCACAGTTTTTCAGGAACTTCTCCAGCATGAGTCCTTCTCACAGGCTACTGTTCTTCACAAACTGCTGCAGTGTGGGTCTCACCCACAGGGTGCAGTCCTTCAGGAACAGACTGCTCCCGTGTGGGTCCCCCAGGGAGTCACAAGTCCTGCCAGCAAACCTGCTCCAGCGTGGGCTCTTCTCTCCATGGGTCCACAGGTCCTGCCAGGAGCCTGATCCAGGGTGGGCTTCCCGTGGGGTCATAACCTCCTTTGGGCACATCCCCCTGCTCTGGTGTGGGGTCCTCCACAGGCTGCAGCTGGAGATCTGCTCCATTAACCTCCACAGGCTGCAGGGGAATCTCTGCTCCAGTGCCTGAAGCATCTCCTCCCCTTCCTTCTTTACTGACCTTGGTGTCTGCAGAGTTGTTTCTCTCACATTCTCACTCCTCTCTCTGGCTGCAATTGCCTAATTGCCTTCCCTGTTTTTTTGTTTGTTTTTTTTTTTTTTCCCCCCTTTCTTAAATACATTATCCCAGAGGCACTACCACTGTTGCTGATGAGCTCAGCCTTGGTTCATCTTGGAGCTGGCTGCATTGGCTGTCGGACACAGGGGCAGCTTCTCACAGAAGCCACCCCTGTAGCCCCCTTCCCCTGCTACCAAAATGTTGCCACACAAACCGAATACAGCCTTGTAGACAATATTTTCCCTCTGGGGTTTTGCCTACTCTGGAGATTGGTGCTAATCAGTAGAAACTCAATCAGTGTTTGCTAGTTTAGTCTCCCCACAGAAGTACTAGTAAATTAGCTTACAATTGAAAACAAGATCAGCTGGTGAATTAGAGTGAAAAATTTATTTTAAAGACCTAACTTTTGAGATAGGCAACAATTTATGACACACTGCTAGATCCTCCATTTTTCCCAGAGACTTTATTAATGGAACAGTACCAGCTTTCTTCTATACATCACCATCACTACAATTGGGTGTATTTGCCATGTGTGGAAGGTATATTTACGATTGCAGTAATGACTGGTTTTGCCACCATTCTTGGTGATTAATGTTTCTGTAGCAGCTCCATAGAATAATGCCCTCTAGAAAGCTGACTACTTTCAGAGTGGTTACCTCAAACTAGCCTCAAAACATACGAAGCCATGGGTCAGCTTGCCTTTGCTCCATTGGGAAGAGGCAAAGAAAAAAGCTGTCTTACAAGAAGCTGTCCTTGCTTTGGGCAACTTGGAAGCTCACTGCTGCTGAGGACATAGCAGCCGGTTTGGAAGTGGTCAGCTTTCTAGGGAATGCTGGTGGTCAGTATGAAGCCACAGCAACAAACACTTTTATGTGCCAGTCGTTACTGCACAATGGATCATAACATTACAAAGTGGACTTTAGTTACTTGTTACTGCTTTTCCATATGTTCCACATACCCTACCTCCTGTGCAGGATGTTTTCACAGCCTTTCGTCCTGTGATGTGTTTTTGAAATTCATCTGAAAGCAGAGACCAGACTAAGAAAACCTATACTTTACCCACAGCTGCTGACTGAACTGCCATTTCAGATTAAACATGCCTTCATCATAGTGAATTTTAATACTGTGTTAACAAATTATTCACTACTTATAATTTTTTTAAAAGCAATTGCTCATACATTGTTAAAAGTACATTGCCTTCAGTATGGTTGGATTTTATGAAGAGGGAGAATCAAAAAGCCTTGATTGTTTGCTAAATGGTAACATTTTTTCTTTTTTAGTTGACCTAGTACTTTGTTATCCTCTAAAGTAATCCAACCCTGGTTCATTTTACTTAAAGCTCCCAAATGGCCTTATTCTAACCTGTGTTTGTTGCATAGTTAGCTAACGACTACATGCAGCTTGGTCAGAGGAGCTAAATACTTTTTTTTTATTATTCAAACTAATGAAATACACCCTATGTATCACAGACTTCTATAGCTTACTCTTTTTGGTAGAAGCTTCTTTCACTTTATGGCTTTGCTCATCCCTGTCATCTCAGGACTAGTATCATGTGTCAGTCTGGACATGTATGGTTCCTAAACCATAGACTTGTAAATCCATTAAGGCCATGAAGGTGTTCACATCAGTAAGGCAAGAAAGTCTGGGATTTTCACTGTCATAACTGTGCCAACTACCTGACATACAGGTGTTATCTAAGCCAAATTCCTTAGAGCTGATGCATTCCTATGAAGGCAAAGAAATAGCCTATGGTTTTTGTTGGATTTAACTTCTGGACCCCTTCATGCTTATAAGGTGTTATAAATAGGGCGTTTGTCATAGATTAAAATCCCTCAGAAACGAAGTCTCTTCTTCAAAATCTTCCCCTGCCACTCCCTTAGGACACAGCTGCATTATTGAATTACAATACAGGTAGGTTTCATTTTTCAGACATGAAAATAATACACTAGAAGCTTCCCGGCACTTTCCTGCTAGAAGATGCTTTTCCTGTTCTATCAGTTTAAAAATACTGCATTTTTATTTACTTGACACTGTCAGTGTGATGGAAGGCATTTCCAGTGTGCTGTTTACTCTGAGGGGCTTTGAGGAATGTTCCCATATCCAGCAGTATGTGAACTCCACAGATTATGCTGCCTACATTTTCTTTTGTGATATCGAATGTAACTGGATCAATTCAGTTCAGGATTCAAATTGTCGAGTTCAGGGTTGCCCATGTGGCCATCAGGCTGGTGGGGTTAGGTCATACCAGTTTCTATGGACAGTGAGCAAACTGGAAATATGGCCCCTGCATTTGACTCTCCAGCGAGCTAACCCAGCTCCTGCCTGCAGAGCCACTGACTGAGAGCCCTTGAGCCCACGGCCAGACCTGTGCCTGAATTCAGCCCCCAGGGTGACAGTGAAGGGCTCAGGAGCTCTGCCCGTGCGTCCTGGTTGGGACTGAGCCCAGTGTGGGAAAGGGCTTTTTAGTTTCTGTGAGACCTACACTGTGTCCAGGATGTGCCCAGAGTCTAAACAACAGCTGTAAACATGTATTTTCTTATCTCCCTTTCTAATCTTGGCATATCTCCAGGCTGAACAATAGCCCTTGGATTGTCTGTTTTCTGGCTAAGGGGAGACAATGGGAGTCAATATGAGCAAAGTTACTCTGTGTAAATCAAGGACAATTACTGTCATAAGAAGAGGACTCTTTTCAAGGAACTCCCAGGGAACAAAATGCTGCAAGGCGCTGTGCCACAGCTCTTTCTCTGGAAGTGTCAGCTGCTGCCTGTGCCCAGCACATGCTCCCCATTTGCCCCCGAGCAGAGCTGTGGAGCGGTGCCCTGGGCTTACACCAAACTGGAGGGTTCCCTGTTCTCTTTGGAGTTTTGGAAAATGGTGCCTTTCAAGGGCCAGGAAGGCCAGAGACCCTCCTGTGCCTATCTGTGTGGAGCGGGAAGAGGTGGTTTGTTTAAGGGGGGGGGGGGGGGGGGGGAAGGAACGAAACCCTGATAACACCAAATTTTAAAATGAGGAATTCAAAGCATAGTAGAGAGAAGGGTTCACACCGCTGCATCTGTCCTGCTGGCACAGGAGCTGGGCCAGAGGCTTTCTGAGTGACCGAGTCCCCCAGTGCCCCTGGGAATGATGGAGCTGAGCTGGGATTTGCTAAGCCCGGGCTGGATCTGTCTTCGCAGTCTGGTATTTTAAAATGCCAGCGGAGTGACAATGACTATTTTTTTTTCCTCTTTCCCCCCCAGAATGTGCACCTTCTAGTACAAGCAACTTTGGGTACAAAGCAGAAACACCCTTTCACGTGTATTTCTGGGGAAATGAAGCCTTTGGGCTGCGAAGGGGCTTGGGATGTACAGCAAATACCTGCTGGTGGGAGCCTGTGGGTGTGAGGAGGGCAGGAGGTGAGGCCGGTCCCGAGGCCGAGCCCGCTGTACCGCTGGCTCTGGGCGCGGGGCCGGGCAGGAGCTGCTGGCGCCCACGCGAGTTTTCCCGCGCGGTGTCTGCCCAGGTGCTGGCTGCACACGGGGCTGGATGAGCGCCCGGGCCGGCCCTGAACGTCAGCGTGGGGAGGGGGAGGGAGCCCGGGCCGGCTCCGCTCCGGCACCGTTGCTGAGGCAGCAGGAGCCTCCGCAGCATCCCCGAGAGCCAGGCGGGCAAACTCCTCCTCCCGCCCGCTCTCATCTCTCTCCCCGCTCCCTTTGCAAAGATGGCAACCGACGGGCTGCGCGAGAACGAGACCTTGGCATCGCTGAAAAATGAGGCCGAGAGCCTGAAGGGCAAGCTGGAGGAGGAGCGGGCCAAGCTGCACGACGTGGAGCGTGAGTGGGGCCGGGGCGCGGGGGCGGCCCCGCGGGGTGGGCGGCAAAACGCGCGGCCGCCGGCCCGGGAACGGCAGGTCCGGAGCAGGGCGCGGGAGAGCTGCCCGCTGTCGCGACAGCCGGTGCTCCGCGCGTGCTGGGGCCCAGCTGAGGGCACGGTGGGCGCGCGCGCTCCGCCGCGCAGCGCGAACAATGCGCGGCTCCGCGCCGGCGGAAGGAGGGAGCAGGTGGGGAGCGCGGGCGGCGCAGCCGCTCTGGCCCTTCCGTGACACGCGGGGAACGGCCGCCCCGCACCGGCCCCGGGCCCCGCACCGGCCCCGGGGCCCGCACCGGCCCCGGGGCCCCGCACCGGCCCGGCCCGGCCGCGGGGGCTTCAGGCCTGGCTGGGGCTGCCGCGCTTCCTGCGCTGCCCCTGGTGCGGGAGGCCCGGAGCGGGAGAGACGGTGGAACATCCCCCTCGGTGGATTCTGAGCTTTATTTGCATCGTTCTAATGTACATCTTAGTGGCGCAAACAAAGATTAAACCCAGCCTCGGGGAAGTTGATGGGAATTTGCTTTAGTGAGGCCAGGATTTCCCACAAGGTGGAAGGGGTTTAAAAGGAACAGTGTTTCCAAAACCAGCCCCTTCTTCCCCCCTTCTCCCCGGGAAACAAGTTGCAGGGATCCAGTGCTGATTCAGAGCTGCGGGGTGAGTCAGTGCTCGAGCTGTCAATGCGTAACTTGCCGTTATCAGCTGCAGCTTCACGGTTCTTGGTTAACATAAGAGAAATGACATGGGCAGATTTCAACCCTACCCTCCCCCACGCCCCACTTCCCCCCCTCCCCATTCAGGAAAAAATAAACTAACCTTTTTATCGAGCTTCTGTACAGTAGATATTAGTTCATCTATTCTGAGGTATAAAAATCCTGTATTGAATTTTTATAATTACCGGGATACATGTTGCAGTTGGGTTTTTTTGAGAAAACCATGTAAATCACTGTATTCCTCTCAAATCACATAGCTCACTTTATTAGAAATACTAGTGGGTCATTAAAACTTTTATTTCATCTGTTTTGATGCCTTAAATGTTGAAAAGGAACCTGAGCTTGTATCCAGTGATTTAGCTCTTAGTGTTTTGTAAGACTGAGGGACTGGCAAACATTCTTAAATTTTAGGTGGGGGAGGGTTAGAAGATTTTTTTCTGGAGTAAATAGAGCATCTTCTTGTCTACATTAGACAGTCATATGATATATGAGTGTCCTATTAATAGAAATAATTAAACAAATGGAGATGGCATTATTACAGAAACATTACCATAAATCATCATATTCCTACAGTGTAATTTCTGTATCAGTAGTGGGGCCTCTGTTTAACAGATCACTTAAGCATATGCTTAAATCTATTTGCTCACAAAGAGTTTTACCTATGATGGCAGTGATACTGTAGGTGTGGGTATCACTGATAGTCATAGGATATTTAAGTCTTTGTCATATGTAAAATCTGTAAATTTACATTGGAAGGCTGTGTTTGCATAGCCATGATGTGATTTCTAAGACAAAAGTCTTATGCTGCTGTAGAACAAAGTTCCCTCATGATGTTTTATACCACTGATTCTGTATCAGAGCTTTATTGCACTTAAATTATCCCCAATAACTATTTCTGCAGAGATTGTAAGTTTCAGAATAAAGCATCTCTTCTGTTTTGTTTTGGGTTTTTTTTTTTTTTTTTTTTTTTTTCTTAATCTAAAATTGTATCTTTCGCATTTTTTTTCTCTGATGATGATTTTCCCTCTATGGTTCCCAAAACAAACAGCTGGCTGAACTAGGATTGCCCTTATTTGTTCAACTGGTTTGGAACAGCTATCAACAATGTGAATAGAAAAAGGAAATACCAAACGTTCATTTGATTTGCAGTCTTACAATTTTAAGGATTCAATTCTATCGCTTAAAATTTTAGATGTAGATAAAACTGTTCTGTTCATGCAATCCATAAATTTTTAAGGTCAGAAGAGACCATTAGGACCAACTGACTTCCAGCACAGAAAAGATCAAAGACCCAATAGTATCTGCATCAAGTCTACACTTCCTGTTCAGGTCAAATTAAAAGTTTTAGAAAAATAACCTGCTATATCTGGGCCTTTGTAAACCCACTCAAACTACTTATTGGCTTTAGCTGATCCACTTGCCTGAGTGAGTAATTTTCAACTATCTTGAAACAATATTGGAGAATGCTTCAAAATAATTATCTGACTCTAAAACCTGTGCTAGGCAGGTGCATGATCACTGTGACTGTGGTTGGAGATAAGCGTCCTGAGAGAATCAGTAACGCTAAACCAGACAATTCCACAGACTCCCGGCTGCATTGACATAATGGAAACACTTTGTCCATTGTCTGTGAAACATTTGTTTTTTCAGATATGTTCTGGACACAAGCATCTTTCCCAGCTGCCATAATAACCTTCTGTCCTGTGTTTTCATATCTTTTGATTGGATCATTTGGCAGGTTTCCATGGGCAAAAGTAGGAGGCAATCTATCTTTTCCTCAGTGGGTTTATGAGCTACTTTCTCAGAAACTTGCTTCTGACCTCCTGTTAGAGATGGTATGGACAAATGGTCAGGAATGATGGACAGCACTTTCCCCCTGGCTGGGTGAGGCTGGTCCAGCAGAGATTTCAGGTGAGAACATTATTCTGGCACAGCCTGTGGGGATGGTGGTTCTGAAAGACAACTCTTGGACAGCTGATCCACTCAAAATCAGTCTCTGCCTTAGGCAGAAATTGCTGCCCTGACCCTGTGCCAGGGAATGATCTCAAAGTTAAGGATGCCTGCTCTCTTGCTCTGACAGCCCTTCCTAGCCCATGATCTTTCTTGCAGCTCTAGAAAAGTGACGAAGGGTGAAGCATCAACGCAGCTCATTAAAGCATGTGAGCTTCTGCATTTATTTAAAAAGGTTTGACTCAGGATTTCCCCCTTAGCTAACAGCAGCAGGATCATCTTAGGTTTCAGCATGGACAGACACACAACACAGGGAAGCTCTGGATCCTATCATCTCTTCTCTAGACAGAGTGATTTTTAATTTTGGTGCCAGGGTCTCCTGCCCCAGGACCCCTACTGTGCTGTGAGACTTGAAGCAATGCCTACCTTCCCTAATGCTCTGTGTGAAATGTGTCAATGCTGCCACAGGGTGCCAAGATTCATCATGGCCTTACTAAGCTTTGTGCTGGATGAACAATGCTGGAGCAGAGCAAATAGGTTTCCTCAGATGGCGCTTTCTCCCAGACATGTGCAGAGGACCCCAGCGTGAGGCTTCAGGGTTACATGAGACACCTTTTAGTTGTGTCAGCTGCTGTGGGATGAATTTTATGTCAAACTGAGTTTGCACAGTTGGAAGTGTAAATTTGTTGGCTTTTTAAGAATATCATCTGAAAGTACTGCTGTTAAATGAGGTATCAAAGAACTGACTTCTCCACCAGAGGATGCTTGCTGCCCTCTCTGTTTCTCTTTCCCATGAAAGAAAAAGCTGACCCACCTACCCAGGGAGTCCCCAGTGCCCGTAGACACTGTTGAGAAGTTGGGTAGCACACTCTTACAGCAAATTCCAAGCTTCCCTGCTTGCTTGGAGCTGTGTCCTGGTCCTCAGTGCTCCCCTGGCCACCAGAAGGGATGTCTCAGCAGAGAAAAAGTCTCCAGTGCCAGTGGCTAGTACCTGTATCACACTGTACCACCGTGTTTCTGAGAGCCAACTGCAGCTGGGAGTCTCAGATCCAGAACAAGTGTTTTACCATTGAAACTTCGGAGATTTGATGCTTAACCCCTTCTTTTGTATGATTTTTCCTCCAGACCCAGTAGTGGTCTTCACTTCTGCTGAGTACCTTGAGGCATGTGTTAGGCTGGAGGCTCTCTGTGCACTTTCAGACCTCAGTCAGATTGAGGGTTTCCCCATAAGAGGGGACAAGGGGGTAATTATTTTTCACTTATACTTGGGTGTGATGGTCTGCAAGAGCTTCAGCTGCTACAGCTGTGGAATTCAAGCCCTGAGTAAATTCATCCTTCTCTTTATCCAGTGAATATGTTCATACACCGCCCATCTTGGTTTTACCACCTGCCAGCTCTGAAGCAGAGTTCATTGGCTTGCACTGTAGACTCAAACTTCATGGAATAGTTCCTCCAAGTGACATTACTCATAAACGTAGAGGTTTGTCAGGGCAGAGCTTTGGTGCAGGGCTCTCTAACCATCAGCTGTTTGCAGTTCATCAGGTGGCAGAGCGTGTGGAGGCGCTGGGCCAGTTTGTGATGAAGACCAGGAGGACCCTGAAGGGCCACGGGAATAAAGTTCTCTGTATGGACTGGTGCAAAGACAAGAGAAGAATTGTGAGCTCTTCCCAGGTATGATGTTGAGCAGATGTTTTTCAAATCTACTGTTGGGTACTATACAAATCTTTTGGCTGTGCTATGTGCCACTCTTTGCAGACAATACCTGTGTATAGTGTAAATGTTTTCAAGATGCCCTTCAAGCAGCTAATTGGCAATTTATTTTTTCAGAGAGCATAAATCCAAGTTCTGATCATCACTACACCTGTTGTAGCTAATACACTAAATGTTTCTTGTCCAATCATATACAGATTTTTCCCCATATTCCCTGCTACAATAGAAAATAAACAGAACCCATCTGAGGCCTCTTCTATTTCCTTGTTCTTTACAGATAAAATATTTAGTAATTATTTCAGTTTGTTGTTCAGAGAAAATAATCACAAAAAGGGAAGGGAAGAAATGTTGATTCCTCTAGAGATTTCTGTGCACAGAAATTTCTGCAGTCTGTATGACTGGTGTGGCCTTGAAAGCCTCAAACATCCTGCCAAAATTACTGCATTTATTTGGCCATTTCGAGAAACAGTCCTAGCACCTGCTCAAGACCAGTCTCATGAGCTGGAGGAGGTAATGAGATAATTACTTTTTAGATTCCCTAGTTCATTCTGAGCCCAATGTGACAGTGAGTGAGCTTGTTGCATCTCACAGCTGTTCGTTGACCTATATGAAATCTGTCAGGGGTCTCACTTGGGGGATAAAAATAGGCAATCTGCATTGCAAGCTACCTTCAGTTACTGTGAGTTTTTACCATTCATGGTGATCTCAGCAAAGAGAATAGTTTTAAATAATTAATGCCACATTTTTTAATGTGGTTAAAATGTCAGTGTTTAGATCAGAAAACTGGACAGGCAAGTTGTAATTCATTTTTGCATTTTTTAACTCTATTTTAAGAACTGTAGTGAGTCTAGGTACAGCAACAATTGTTTCTCGGTAATAAGCATTTTGCTTTCATGATATGGGGAGGATAACAATATTATGTGCAGAAGGCAAAGTAGCTGGCATACACAAAGTGATTGTGTAGCTCTCTGTGGAGGGTTCTTACCATGGCTATTTAGCAGATGGTATCAGTGGGTAATTGAAGGTTAAGTAAGTGTAGTAAGAAGTAAAGGGAAAACCAGGAGAAGACAGGAAAGTGAAAATGCATAAAGAGTGCAACACCCATAAATAGTCCTCATGAGTGCTACCAGTTCAACGAGTGATTTGTAATACAGGTCATCTCTTGTATTTGTAAGGTCCTGTACTGAGCCACTGACAGGTACCACTTGGGAGAGGTGGCCAATTTTGCAGGTGATTACAGGCTGGGAGAAACACATTGTGGATGAAAGGATGCAAGTGAGGGCTCACTAGTGGCAGTTTCCTCAGGAGATGGTCCTGTCCATGGCATGTGCTGCAAGTGAGAGGAGTTCTCATAAAGCCACTAAAAGGGAACAAAAAAAAAAAAAACAAACTAATTTGGTCTATTAAGCCAACATCAGTCATCTCAGTGAGGAGGAGATATGCTTTTCTTCTGGTCAGAGACATAACTGGCACCACTGAGGAGTGTCTCCTCATTGCTTTACCATGACCATTGTGCTGTTGTTAAAATGGAGACAAAAAATGTAATGACATAACAGACTGGGGGATGGAAAGGAGCAGCAGTGTTTTCCTCAAATCTGCGATGATGGCTGACACCCATGTCTCTGAAAGTCCTCAGTTTCTCTCTGTGTGCTTTCATTTAGGATGGGAAGGTGATCGTCTGGGATTCCTTCACTACCAACAAGGTAAGTGAAATTTCAGCAAAAATCAGATTTCTGTGCACAGGGCAAATGACAGTAGGGTAAGATGGAGGGCTGAAGGGCTCACAGGTGTCACAGGAGGCAGTGGGATGATGGGATAACATGCAAACCTCCACCAGCACCTCAAACCAAGGGGCCCAGGACAAACCACCTCCCCTGACTTGCCTCTGAGCAAAGTCCCTGTCACAGCACGGGGGGTTGTTGTGGTCTCCAGCAGGAGGCTCGGATCCAGCCTCTTCACTGACAGGGAGGGCTCCCAGCTAGGGGCAAAGCCCAGCCAGCAAAACAGAGTCCCTCCCTGGGTAACCCCTGTACCAGGTGCCGTGTGTCATCACTGGGAATCCTTCAGCCATGGTGTTCACTGTGAAATAGTGCCACTGCTCCTTCAAGTCCTGCCAGGGCTGCCTTGTGGCACCCTGCTTCACACAGCTGAGAAAAACCAGCTTGTTCGTAACTCACTTTTGTACGTGAAGCAGTGGGCACCTTTTACAGCACTGAATAACCCAGATGATAAAACATACTCTGTGATCAGTTTGGGCATTATTAATAAGGTGGAAAGTTCAAGGAGGGACTAGCCATCCTGCTGCTCTGCTGGGTTCTGCAGTAGGGGTTGTCCCAGCCTTACATGTGAGTTATTTCTGGTGAAAACACCTGTACCTTTCACTGACCCTAAGAATGTCCAACAGAAATACTGAATGTACTACTCTACACTGTTTTCCTTGCACCCATCAGAGAAACAGTGATATCCGAGTTTAAAAAGATGCTGTGTTTTAGGAACATGCAGTGACGATGCCATGTACCTGGGTGATGGCGTGTGCATATGCCCCATCTGGATGTGCCATTGCTTGTGGGTAAGTTCCCAGTTTCCACAGCTGCTTACAGAGAGAAGCTTGGTTTGTAGTGGTATCCTGGTGCCTTCAGATGCTGACAGCTAGAAGTTCACGTGCCTCGACTGTGGGTGGAAGGACTGCATTTAGTCCCTCTGATTCTATTCCCACCAAGGCTTGTACACATTATCTCCACTGACTTCAGGGCAATAGCATTTGTTGTGTAAGCATGGAAAATAATCCTCTTTCAGCATTTATATCATGGGTTAGGAATTCTGCATGCATGCAACTTCCCTGTTCCAGTTTGGTTGTGCGTGTTGGATATATCTTCTAAGAGAGAGAGGTTTGAATCCTGTTCTCACTTTGCAGTCTTTCTTCTATGACATAGAGAAGGTCAGTCATCAACGATTACCAGCACGTGATTAGATCTTGCCTAGATGGGGTGGGGAGAAGTAACCCCATCCTTGATAATCTCCAAGTTTTCTGAGAGCTCAGGTTTGAGAAAATTGAGTTTATGCAGGAGAGAAAACAAAGAGTTGAGATGTTGGCAAAACATCTTTTAAAAAGGGACTGGGTGGATCAAACAGGCAAAGCAAGCTTGGGATGAGAGAAAGGAACAAAGGGAGACTTTATTGTGCAGCTTGCAAATCTAGAAAGCAGCAGACTGAGACAGACAGGCAGACTCCGTAAATGTGTGTGAAGAGGAAGTGTGTTTTTGACTAAACCTCAAAGAATGGCAAGAAAGGTCTGTTTTCACACTTACAAGAGAGACAGTGAGGGTGTATACGCATTGTACTACCTAATTCTGTATTTCTCTTTGTGCTGCCAGTTAAGTGCTGTGGATGTAATTTAAGGCACAGCACCAGCAGCTGGTGGTGCGCTGGGATCCCAGGGACCAGGGCAGGGCTGATCTGCCACGGCTCTAGAAAAGTGTCAGACACGAGTCAGACCCTTTAGAAAGTCCCACATCTGGCCTGGGAGACACAGCTTAACTGGTGCAACTGTCCAGGATGGACACACCAGCCACAGAGGTTAGTGCTTCTGTTGCCTTTTCTCCAAACTCTGCTGAAAGTGCCGTCTTCATATGCACTACTTGCTATACTACCTCTTCCATAGGAGTTAGGTCAAATTTATTAAGGAAGATAATTAATGTTGCTGAAATACTGATCCTTGCAATGACAGATGTCAACAGAAAAATGGAAGTTTGGCTGTATGTGAAATATTAACCCTGAGGTGACTGCTATGTCATCTCCAAGTTTATACTTTCGTGAGGTTCCATTCAGTGCCATTTATAAACTCGATGAGGGTAAAAAATACTGAGGCGCAGCTGTTCAAGTTCTGTAGAGTAGCCAGCCTGGTGAGGCAGCTGGGGCTTCCCTGCACAGGGAGATCCCAGACAGCACAATACAGGGAAGTCGGTACTTGTAAGGGTTTGGCAGCGAAGCACTGACAGGTGGTTTCCTTCTTATCACCACTCGCCTTTTGTCGTTGCAGTTTTAACCAGTTCTCCTCTCTCTGTTATTGCTATTATTACTTTAGTGGCCTGGACAACAAGTGTTCTGTGTACCCTCTGACATTTGACAAAAATGAAAATATGGCTGCAAAGAAGAAATCAGTTGCAATGCACACAAACTACTTGTCTGCCTGCAGCTTCACTAACTCAGACATGCAGGTAAATGCATTCCCTACCCACTGCTCACCGTCCAGCAACACCTAACATGAGCTGCACTCATACGTGGTGCAAGTCACCTTCCTTGCACCTGGGGCACCCAGGGCCGGGCCGTGTCCTGCCATGTGCAAGGGCTGCTGGAAGACCCTTACTGGGGCAGTGAGGGTGCTGCAAAAGCTGCTGTAAGGAAATGCTTGTCACAGTCCGTGGCCAGGCTGTCATGCCTGTGCCCTGCAAAGGCTTGTCGCTTCTGCAGAGGGAGCTCGCTGTTACCTGTGTGTTCTCTGCTCACTGGGTCTATGCTGGCTTGTGCTTTTAGGAGCCCAAACTAATACAAATAGTTAAAACCCCAGTTTGGCTAGGACTGGGTTGGATGTGTGCTGTGCCAGCCAGTGGAGGCTGTTGTTTTCCTGCTTTATCCTGGATGTCCAGCCAACTTTGCTTTTCCTTTCATTCTTAGTATTTTTTGTTTGTACCAAGTGAGATATTTGAGCTTGAGGATGGCCCTACCGGGCCAGCCCTGTTCATACATGTGGTGGTGTGTTCCCTTGACGGAAAGGAGTGATTTTATCCCCATCTCACAGACGGGGTTGGAGCACAGAGGCTCGCAGTGGGAGACGATGACAAAGCCAGGAACTAAATGCAGATTTTCTGAGACCAGGCCAGCCTTCCTCTGTAGTGAATATCTCAAAGATCTCTTTCTCCAGGAACATGAAAGATGATGAAAGGAGCCAGGATAATCCCTCTGTCCTCTCTGCTTTTTGAATTTACTTGAAACTCTGCTCGGTGCAGCTCTGCAGCAAAATAAGAGGCAGAGGGGAGCATTTTCATTGCTCTCTGTGTCAGGAGAGCTGCTAGAAAGGGAATACCTTGTCCCCTTCTTTCAGATATTTGGAACTCTTCTGAAGGAAACATCAGCTTTCATTGCTTCTATTTCAGGACATGAAATGCCCAAGTGTATGTTGTTGTTTGTCATTCTATGGTTTCCATAATGACTCCGAGGTGCTAATTTAAGTCCATTGCCATGGAAACAAGTGGTGGAGGTACCCAGCGCTCAGGCTTGCTTAGCCCTGACCTGACTGTGCAGGAGCCCTGTGTAATTAGAGCAGTCTAAATTAAGTGGAATGTTTCTAATGATGTAGAAAACCAGTATTCTCTTTCCTTGTCTATACCTGTATGCATTGTGATTAAATCCTATGAAAGGAAAAATAGTTATTTATTTTTTGTAATAAAAAAAGAAAGCAAAATTGGGTCTTTTTTCTCCATATTAGATACATTGATATTGAACATAATGTATTACTGTTGTTAAATAATACCACAGTGGATTTAGGTGCTTTATATTCAGTGATTCAGAGATTTTTCTGAAGACTTTCAAGATAAATTTTCTTGTGATCGATAGGCTTATAAGTGATCATTTATAGCACTGCATGCTATTATTGAAACAAATAGAAGCAAGTGGGTTGGCCAAGCTTCTGCTGGGCCCCAGCTGTGTAGAGGATCCTAGAGAATCCCAGATTTCTTATCTTTTTCTTTTACATAACAGCCTCAGAATTAAAATTATTCAGTACCTCTGTGGGTGCACAGTGCAGCAAGCAGACTGTGCAGGAGCTTTCCCAGCTGTGTGCGGAGCAGCTCTGCTCTCCTGGCTCACATCACCAAGGGATGTGGTACCTGTCCTGGAGCAGCCCTAGTGCGTGGCAGAGGTGTCCCCCAGCCCAGCATCCCCAGAGCACCCAGCACCCACTGCTAGTGGGTGCTGTGAATGCCACTGCTCTGCCCGGGCTGCTCTCTCAAAACTACAGCTCAGTTTTCCCTCAGAGGAATGAAAGACATGGTGGTAGTTTAGGAGTTGGTGTGCCCATGGGCATCTGGCAGTGCTATGGAAACAGAAGAGTGGGGCTGGTTCATCACTGATGAAAGCCACTGTCAGGCTGTGTGGATACTGAAAGAGGGGATCCCATCCTTGCTCCTCATCGTGTTTCCACCTGGGCTAAGACAAGCACTGAGCAGCAGGGCTGGGGGACATGTGCCACCTCATTCTTGGTGCCCCCAATCAGTCTTGCCAGAGCGAGCCTCCCCCGCTACGGTACGCAGAGAGCCAGAGAGCCTCGCTTCCTAAATTAGGTATCTGCAGCTCTGCGGGGTGATAATTCTCCCCATGTGACAATTCTCCATGCATATTAATAGCAACAGTTAATTGGGATCTCAAGTGCTTTGCATAGGGCAGGCAGCCATACTCCCAGTGCGGCAGGGCTGAGAAGCAGGATGGGGCCCATGGCAATGGCAGAGCAGGCAGAGGTGAGGGTGGCCCCTCGGCGCTGCCCCTAGCCCTGGTGCATCTGCTCCTGGCGAGCAGGGCCGTGTCCCTGCTGTCCCCTGCCCTATGCAAGTGCTGCCTCTTGCCGCCAGGCGCCAGGCGAGGATCCCCGTCCAGCGCTGCCGGAGCCCCTTGTGCAGCAAGCTGGAGTCCAATAGCAAAGACTGTTAACTCCCTTCTGATTTTGGATTTTTCGGAGGTTTTTTTGGTTTGGTTTTCAACAGCAATACCCTGAAGTTGAGTCCATAACGTTTCTCTTTAAGCATTAGCTGGAGCTCTGGGTTGCCATCAGACCCTTCCCTTGCACCTTTAGCTACTCCTATTCCCCTCATATCTTTCTTACATGCTATTACAAGACCAAATCCTCAGAGCTGAAAGTCTTCATTCCTTAGCCAAGTACAAATATTCCTCAGAACAGAGAAGTTCATTGATCTAGGCTCAAAAGCTGTCCAGAAAGACAAGTCAGGACTTTCTTCTGCTATTATCATCTCAGAGTATTAATGTCTCTCTACTGCAGGGTTCAGAACAGTCTGTTCTGCAGCTTTGCAGACCTCTGTTTATGGGAGGAGTTTTTGGAGCATCTGTCAAACATGTTCAGTGTTTAACCTTTATGCAACTCTGTGAGTGGTTTCATGATTGTGTGACCATTTTCTTCTTGAAGGGTATTTTCTTTTTAACTTCTAACTACCCACTGGGTTCCCCTGAATTTCCTCACTGACCATGAGAAAAACCTGTATACAAGACCGAGAGCCCTCCTAAGTTTACTGTTGCATCCTTCCACACCAGTGCACAGGGCCCCTTTCAACCTACAGAATCTGGGATTGCATAACAGCTTCGGGTGCCAAGGGGAAATTTTGAACAATTGAACATCATCAGGATTTAGCCACAATAACAAGCGCTGATCACATGTGCTTTCTACAAGCACTGTAGCAGATGAGGGAAGCTGTGATCTGTGTTCGGTCAGTGTATGTTTAAGCCCTTTCACACACAAATGATTTTGGACAAGAGAGAGGTGATGGACTTATCAAACAACTGTCTAGACAGGCTTACTTCCCTTTCAGAAAATCCATGTCTTAAGCCCAATTAATTGGGTTTAACCTAGCTATTTCAAGCAGAAAAAAAAAATTAGAGAGTTAAACAGGTATACTTAATTCCAACAGTTCTTCTCTTTACTTGGGTTGAATTCCAGCAGCCTAAATATGGATAGGGTTAAATACAGGGGCAGACAGGAATACCAGTCTGGTTTTACCTCCTTTTTGGAGGAAATGGAAATGCCAGCAGATCCTTAGTGCCATCAGCTCTCCAAACCCCACTGCACAAAACTGACCATTATTGAAACACTGTGTAGGTATAGCTGTGTCAATACATGTCTCTTTTCCACTCTAACTTCTTTCCTTAAAAATAGAAAACATAAACTGTGCTTAGATTCACACTGGTTTTATGGCTTTGATTTATTGCATAATACTTCATTAAATTAAAGCTGTCCTTGGTGTATGTATAGGATGTCAGTTGTATCTTTGCAAACTTGATGATCATCTGCTGATTTGTGACTCTTCTTGCCACATCTTGTAGATTCTGACAGCAAGTGGAGATGGAACTTGTGCTCTGTGGGATGTTGAGAGTGGTCAGCTTCTACAGAGTTTCCATGGTCATGGAGCTGATGTCCTATGCCTGGACCTGGCCCCTTCTGAAACGGGAAATACGTTTGTCTCTGGGGTAAGCAGGAGCTTCTTATCATACTATAAAATTAAAGAATGTGGAAGGGAAAACGCAGCAAAGCAGAAGGCTTGTGATCTTACTGAGAGAGTGCTGGAGTATGTGTTGGAAGCCCCAGTGCAATCTGCTCATTGCAAGCACATTTTCCAAGCTGGAGCAAATTAAACCCCTGACTGCGGGGTCAAACCCACCCAGCCAGTCTGACTGCAGTTCTGCTTACTTAGCAAATTCCACCCTACACCAAAGCAATCCAGCCAGAGATCAAAACAACATCTCTCCCGGGAAGGGAAAGGCTCAGAGTTAGAGCAGCGGGCTGGTACCACAGCAGAGGTGTGAGCCCCTGTGGATAGGAGCCCAGCACAGCAGACGACTTCCCGCTTTTGGCTCCTTATTCGTGCCCAGCTCTCTGGAGCCAGATGGGGTGTGCCAGGCGGCTGCTCAGGGCAGCAAAGTGGGGCTGCAAATAACCTGCGTGCCACTATATCCCTCAACTGCTCCCCAGAAGCCAAGGGGTAGCTTGGACATTGGCGAAACCCTCATACAAGTTGGAGCAGAGAGATGAGGTGTGGCCACATCTTCAGCTGTTGCTGAGTCCCTTGTGCCTTCCAGTGGTACCAGAGGCATGTAAAGCCCCTTCATCAGTCAAACCCTGCCCGCTCCCTCTCCTGGCCCAAAGGAACACACAAACCTCACTGGGACTGCACGACTGGTGTGGGAAAGTACTCAGGGCATCTTTCAGATCTTGTCCTGCTGCTGAGGGATCACTGTTCCTGGGCAACCAAGTCATTGGCATGCAGCCAGGCAGTGAGGCAGGCAAGGCATAAAGGTGACTGCGACAGGGCTTATCTCCTTTTTGAGGTGGTACTGGTCTTTCCCACATCAGAAATTGAGTGTGCAGGTGAGAGCTGGCAGGAGCTGGGAGATGACCTCTCTTACTGGAGGCAGGTTGCTACCAGTAACTGCTGAAGCTATCTGGTTTCTGAGCCCCACCAGCACTGGCCCAGGGCTGATCCTGTGCTTGCTGATGGAAATGGCCTCTGTGCCAGAGGGTGCCAACCATGGATTAGGGGATTCCACTTGTGCTTGGACTCATGGTCCCATTCCTACACAACAAACCTGGACCTCTTCTGTTACGGTTCTTTTATCAGATTTGGCTGGCCCATCAGGAGCAGCACCCACCACACCAGCCTGGTTTGCCTGCTGCTAGCACAGCTGCTCCGAAGCGTGACTGAAAGCTAATTCCATCCAAATGCATTACTCCTCCCGGGCTTTCCTGTCACCAAGCTTGCTTCCCAGAAAGGATAGATTCATTCTCCCTGGGAACAGCTCAGCTTATTATAGGGCAAAGAATCGCAAGCAGCTATGGTACTGCTAAGAGAATATGTCATACTTGTGTTGATGTAGCAGCTTGGGCATGTCCGTGCTTACAGGGACTCGCTTTATTCATCACATGCAAAATACTTCAGTGAAGATCTGTCTGATGTTGTATCAATGCAAGTGTAGCCAAAACAGTGCAACCTGAAGGTCTGGTGGCATAGAGAGACTCCCTGTATATTGTGCCTATGTAATGCAGTAATCTTGAGCTGGAATAAGCTATGCCACTACATCGGTGTGTAAACTGGGTGCTGTTATATTTAACAACTTAACTGAAAATCCCAGCCCTCCTGGGTGATCTCAGGGCCGTGTCCCGGGCTGTTGTGCTCAGTGCCCTCTGAGCGCTGCTCCTCAGGGCGAGTTGGATAGCACTCAGGGGGCCCATCTCTCTGCAGGTGGTTGCTGGTTTCTCCTTCAAAACCTTAGGAGTCAAAGCACCAGCTTGTCAGATTGGTCTTGCCCCAAACTCACAGAGAGGTCAGTAAGAGCAGTGCACATGGAAGCAATACAAAGGGCTGGGCTTGGGTTGTGGCGGGGCTTGAGAGGGAAATATGCTGAGTCCAAAATGTTCTGTATCCTGTTTGGTTTCCCCTGAGCAGAAACCATAAGTTGGTACAAAGGAACATTACCTCTTTTAAATGACATGATTATTAAAAAACCTGGGATTTCATTTTAACAAGGGAATTAAAAAAAAAAAAAAAAGGAGAGAAAAAGATGTGAGTTGTAAAGAGACTGTTTAATTTAATTAGCAATCATATTTGCTTAAAAATAAATAACAAGTGTGGCACGGTCTGCTGGGCAGGGCACACTAGCTCGGCAGAAGCAGCAGCCGCCTGCCCTGCCCTGTGCTTCCCACATGGCCTCAGAGAGGCTGAGCCCCCTGGAGCTGAGCCCACCTATGGCCTGCCCCTCAACGGGGTCATATTTATTAAAATCCCCCATTACTCTTAAAAAAAAAGTCCATCTTCTTTTTCCTGTCACCGCGATTGTGACAGCAGCGAGATATCGTAGCTGGGAGTGTGGCCCTACGGGTACGAGATGGTTCCTGCCCCAAGGACGTTGCAGACTACATGTGCTGAGCCCCTTGCCTAAAGCATTCAGGGTGCTGAGCACCTCACAGCAAGCACCGAGTGTTAAATGATCTTTTCAAAGCACTGCTTGGAAGGGCAGGTTGGAGCTTGACAATGAGATGAAATGCTGTTACGCTTCTGTTCTCATCCCAACCATGCCACTGAGTAAACACGGGTACAGAGCCACAGCAGGGGTTAACTCTGGTAGGAGGCTGGGCCAGAGACCATCCGGATGCACTTACTTCATTTTCTATTTCAGTGTATGAAAATAATTAGTTATAAAACTTTAAATGCTGGGTATTAATGTTTCATGTTGGGAACGTTAAGTGGTAAGGCAGTGAGTCAGTTAGGCAGCTCTGTGGCATGGTGCGACTGCAGGCGCAGGTACGGCAGCAGCACAAGCAGCGCAGGGCTGTGAGTGTGGGTCAGTGTGGGACTGCCTGCTCAGACACCCCGGGCCCCCCCTGCACCCCCTGTGCTGCACGGCAGCTGCTCTGCTCACCGCTGAGCCTCCAGCCTTCGTGGTATACTCTGCTCCTAACTGCAACTGTGCCAGGCCTCGGGGGGGTACCAGCACAGACAGTTCTGGGGCTGCTGTGCTGGTTGAATCCCCTCAGAGCTGTGATGTTCAAAGCCTTTGAATGTAGCTGGGCTTGATGATGTGTATCAGGCACTTGAGGGGTGAATGTCACCATTTGCACAACTGTAGCGATTTTTTTTGTCTTATTAGGGCTGTGACAAGAAAGCCATGGTTTGGGATATGCGGTCTGGTCAGTGCATCCAGTCATTTGAAACCCATGATTCAGATATCAACAGTGTCAGGTCAGTATGTTTCTGAGAGAGGACACATTTGCAGTGTTGAGCAATGCGCTGGTTCTATTTTTGAAGTCTGACCTCATCCAAGTAATGTAATGGGTTCTTGTCTTTTTTTACTCATGCACAGATATTACCCAAGTGGAGATGCTTTTGCCTCTGGTTCAGACGATGCCACGGTATGTTAATCCAGCAACCTAATTTAGGGAAGTTCCATTACTTCCCAGGACAGGTTTTCCTGAAAGACTAGGTCACATCCACAGAGGACTTTTAAGTGATTAAACTGGGTCTGTGACACCAGAGTTGCAGAAAAAATAATGCTACAATATATATTAAATACTATATATATAATGCTGTAGGGGAAATCTAGTAGCACTTTGTAGGTCACCTCTGCAAACTTTTCTACATGAGGTACTGTCCAAATACTAATTTCAGATTCTCTATATTTTGAAGTTTCGTGATCAGAGTTACTTGTCTTACTCGAGGAGGTTTGGCTTCATATAGTTGTTGGTCACAACGTGGGAGGAAACAGAAGAAATGCTGCAGCTTGTGTCAGAAGCAGCAGCGCAGCACAAGGGCATGAAGGGAGCCCACACATGAGTGTGCACGTCCCGGCAAGCAGAGGGGCTGTGGGCTCAGCGCGGAGCTGCGCAGACCCGGTCAGCTCTGTGCATCCTGCCAGCGCAGCCCCGGGGTGGCCTCGGCCACGTCCATCTCCTCCCTGTCAGCCTGACTCACTGCCAGTGCTCTTCACTGCCGTGAGTCACCACCACATCCAGGTCATCTAGGATGATATAATAGCTCTTACGGGATTTTACTTATCTATGCACAAGCTGCTGGGAGGGGCAGAGGATGCACTGACAGGTAGTTTTGGTCAGTGCATTGTATGCAAAATGCCACCTAACCTCCTGGTGCCTGTGGGCCCCTGAGCAATGCACGCGGCTGGTGGCTCTCGCTGCAGCTGGTGGGTCCCCATGGGGGACCAGGCTCTGCCTGTACCACAGCCCTGCAGGGACTGAGCTGGCAGTTAAGTGTAACTCAAGAGCCAGATGTTTGGGAGGCACCTGGCACCTTGTTTCTCCTGTTTATTCGAACATCACACCGAATTGCATGAGAGTGAAGACTCTTCTAAAGTACTCTGCCCTCAGAGTATGTTTTGAATCTGCTCCAGTACTAGCTAAACTCAATAGAAACATTCCCTTTGTCTTCACTGGATGTGGAGACCTTCTAAGGCTCTTCTGGAGATAGTGTACACTGCTTTTAGGTCTTAAAAGCTGCAATTATAAATTAATGCCTCTAGCTCTGTGGTGAGCCTAGTGGCTCTCTGCCCATTTGCATGTGGTACTGGGAGCACTTGAGATGCTGAGGGGGTGAGTTGGAGAAATTGTCCATCATTAAATTCCAATGAGAACACTCTCTTTTTATGCCCAGTACCACAGGCTCTGGGCTTCTGTGCTTATTAATTTATTTAATGATCTTTTTCTTTCTTAACTATTACTGACACCCGCAACTTGAGCAGGAGAATGGGAAATTCCATCTGTACTTTTGACAGAGGTTTTGGCAGTTTCCATCTACTTAATTCTTTAAATGAAGAAGTTGGTGCTTTCAGTGTTACGGACTGATACACTGACTGGCATCCTTGACCTGATTTATGTACTTGGGGATTTTTGAGGAACAGATAATCCTGACTGTCTGGAGGGAAACCATAAAAGCGTGCTCACATGGCAGTGCTGTCACCTGCGGTGGCCTCAACAACCTGTCAGGACAGTCTGATGGAATTATTCATCGGTGTGAAGCACTGGGAGACCTGGACTTCACATACCTGGCAGCTCCCCCCTGCCCTGTGAATGAAACAGCCTCTCCTTTATGTGCAAGCTTGAATTCCAGCCATTTTTCATTAGTAAAATCTTAATATTAGCAAACCCATCTGGCCAGTGTTTACTTAACTTATTGAGGAAGGTTTTCTGTTCAAATAGTTTCAGAAGTGCATTTTGATTTCAGGGCTAACAGACTGCCCTTCTGTATGGCAATGAAGTCTGCGCTGTCTATACATTATTTTCCTGTTAAACAAGCCTATGTATGCTGGCAAATGATAAAAACAGGAAGTGCAGGTTGTAGAGGTGATTGGGGGTTTTTCATGAGAAATAAAAACCAAAGTTCTGTATAAAAATGTATTATTCCACTTGAATTATTTTCACGTAGGTTTTTCAGGCAGAGAGGCCTCACAGGAGGGCAGGGGCTGCTGTCCTGTTTTATCCAGAGCGAGGATTACCACCTAGGCTTCCCCATGCCAAGGGACTCTCTGAGCACCATGCCATGTGGTCTGTGTTCTCAAAGATGACTAGAGATTTAATCCTCTCTCTCCCAGACCCCAGCTGTGGCTAAACTGTTGTCTAGAGAGACTGTCTCCCCATATATTTCCCCAGCAGCAAGACGCCCTAATGTGTAGGAAACCACAGTGGGGAAGCAGGAGGATGGAGGAGACTTTCAGTGAGTAGCCATGGTCCAAAGCTCACCACTTATCTCTCTGTAGCACAACTGGCTTAGAGAAGTGGTTTGGAAAAGCAGGTTCTTCACTCAGTTTATACAAACGAGGCTTGTGTTGCTTAGATCCCTGCTAGACTCCAGAGGAGTCCCAGTTACAGTGGGCAGAAATAGCAGTAGGAAATAAGCTGCTTCCTGTGATGTCTGTTAGGCTGTGGTCCTTTTCACTTCCATTTTTTTCAGTGAAATGTAGTAGCCATTGACTCCAGCCTTTACTGAGGCATGTGTGCTGGTTTTGTTTTAATCCTAGTGTCGTTTATATGACCTTCGTGCAGACAGAGAAGTAGCAATTTATTCCAAAGAGAGCATCATTTTTGGAGCATCCAGTGTGGACTTCTCTCTCAGCGGTGAGACCTGAACTTTGGAGGTTATCTTAGTGCTGGGATTTGAGGGGAACTGTATAATTTTGCCAGTTTAACTTGATAAAGCATTTGTTATTAAAAATAATACTAAGCACCAAAAGAAACATTTAATGCATGGAAGCCTTTTTTTTTTTTCCTCTAAAAATAATTGCTCTTTAAATAACCTAGCTGGTTGTTGCTTCATTGTAGCAATGAAAAGTATTTTCTTGGCCCTACTGAAGGCAAGAAATATTTTGCCATTAACTGCAGCTGGGCTAGAATTTCACAATAATGATTCAAAACATTTCAAAGGAAACATGAAATGTAACTGGACTATTAAGCACACTTACATAAATAGTTTTTAAAAGGATAATAAATGATTAAGAGGCAGTAAAAGTATGTTGGAGGAGCATGAAGACAGAGACATTACCATTTTTCACTACAGATGATACATGAGCTTGAGTCTTCTCTCTCCTGCTCCAGCACGAAGGCAGAGCTCCTCCAGTCACCCTGAGTGGGTGGTGAACTGCCCTCCGCCTCGGACAGGCAAATGTCTCTGTCATGGTCAGAACGAATCACTTACCAATCTGTCTGCTAATCATTCAACCATTTGTATTCAACTTCTTGTGTTAAGTCTGAGCAAAATGTCATTACTCTACACGAGGTGTTGAAGTGCTCTTCAGTCTGTCGTGGTTTGGAGTCATCCCCCATCTCTAATGACTGAACAGGTTCTATATCATTTAACTCCGTTTTAACTATATTTTTAACTAATGAATTTTAATCGGTTCAGCATTTAGTATGGATAGCTCAGAGTGGAGCCAGCCTGAGGGAGGCAGTGGCCAGGGCTCTCTGTGCGCAGAGGGTGGCACAGAAAAGCCGGGTTGTGGCTCACTGCGTGAGAAATGTCCTTGCTGTTGCCAAGGTGTGTTACCTACTTAAGACCTCACTTTGTAAAATATCATTCTCTTTGTAGGTCGCCTGCTGTTTGCAGGCTATAATGATTACACCATAAATGTCTGGGACGTGCTGAAAGGGTCCCGTGTGTCCATTCTGTTTGGACATGAAAATCGTGTCAGCACCTTGCGGGTCTCTCCTGACGGAACGGCGTTCTGCTCGGGCTCCTGGGACCACACTCTCCGAGTAAGTGCTGGGAGCACCCACTTCGGGTGCTTCTTTCTTTGTTTGTTTGATTGTTTAAAAAACGGGGACGAAGGGGAAGGGTTGTTACAGGAAAATTGACTCTAGAGGGACTAACAAGGGTATAAAAACACAGCGTAAAACATGAACAGAAAATTCAAATTAAAAAATCCCCACAAAGTGCTAGCAGAACTGTTAAATATTGAACTTACGTGTGAAATAATATCATTGCTGTTGATATTCTGTACCACTAGTCTGACTGCATTGGCAAATTTTAGTTAAATGGTTGATAGAGTAGTCAATGTCATGAACGATTGTTCAACTCTCTCTCTGCAGATCTGGGCTTAACCTGAGATCCCATATGCAGAAGCAAATGAAGACTGAAACCCTGGACTACAAAAACTGCATAAAAAAGCCACCCCTCAAAATCAAATATTCGCTACACTACAAGATACCCACAGATTAGCACAACTAGGTAGAAAATATAATCTGCTTGAACACATAGCAAACATCACCTTGTAGTAAAATGAAATGTTTTTAATTCTGTTTTGAAACTATCTTATTTTATTAGAACTAGTTTAGATAATTATAAAGGAACTTTTCTCGGAAGTCACCTGTATCATAGAAATGAGTATTTCAGTGCACATTATGTATTTAATTGCATGAATTGAGTTCCTTTTTAAAGTAAAAAAAAAAAAAAAAAAAAAAAAAGGAGGGGGAAAAGATTCCTGATTTTATCAGGGTGTAGCATAAGACTTTGGAAACATTCCGTAGTAGCGCATTGAATTCTGGTGTTGAAAAGTGGAAAGAAAAACAATTCTGATACTTTATGATGGCATTATGGATGACTGAACCTTGGTAGTAAATAGAGGAGCAAAGGACCTAATGTGAAGGTACTGGCTGTTGTCATAAAATTGTATTTTTTGTACAAAAAAGGAATCCTTTCAATCCCTGGTTTTGCCTACTGTCTTTTTAGATAGAAATAAATAGTTAATCTCTGTTACCTGAATATAGAGGATCTAAATATATACAAACTGATAAACTGCAAAGAGGAGGGATATAAACATGATTTACATAATCATGAGGTAATAATTAACCAGTAGTTTCTTAGAAATTTTTAATTGTATCACTTGGTGAGTGAATTTTCTTTTACTTAGAGGAAAACCACATGCTAGGCACTAAGGAATACTGCACGCTAAGCACTACGCACTGTTATGGTCAAGTCTTTTCCAAGTCAGTCATCATCATTCTATGATCATGATTCTTATTTGCATTTTGAGCAGTTTGTACCACTTTGTCAGAGCAATGTAGCTTAAATGTGTATTAAGGCAGTATATGCCCATTTTAAGGTCCTTCTGCAGTATCAAAGCAGTGTAAGTTCATGTGAATGCGGGTCAAACCTTACAAGCCAAATTGTACGGTTCTCACTCTAACAGTAATCTCCCACTGGCATGGACACAGTTTTGTTGCAGTTGGACTTGAGAATGAACAGCCGTGCGTTGTTGAAAACCTGCTGTGAGCCACCGTCCTGGCAGCGCTTGATACTGTGCTCACCAGAGCACATGAGCCCATCTGACCCGCGAGCCGCTGGGTTTCAGGGAAGCACCACAACGGCCACACTGCTGGCAGCACCCAGCCCTCTGTGTGAGCATGGTAATGCAATACAAACTGGCAGGACTACCCCCAGGTGGGGCTGATGTTGTAGAATTAAGATTTAATCAGATAAAGCTGAGATACTGACAGGTACTGAGTCTAACCCGAGCAGAGGCACACAGGGAGAAAAGTGCTGGAGTAGTGCTGGGGGCTTGTACGTCTGGCCTTTGAAATACAAGTGGTGAGATACTTCTCCAAAAAGATCAAAGATATGATTTATATTTAGATTGAAACAAGAGAAAACAAGCTCACTGGAGTGAGCTTGATCACAACCTCACCGATCACTGGAGTTGGCTGTTCACAGAAGTTTGATGATAATATCATCATTCTATTGGAAAGTGTCATTTCTTTACAATTGTATAAAGATTGTATTAGAAACGAAGTCTCCTCATTTATGAAAACGTTAGGGTCCATGAATCCATAAGCAATTAACCCAGGACAATGACATTTGTATCAGCCTTCAGTCCCTAATGAAATAGTTCAGCTGTTTTCACTTGGAAAAGTCAACTCTGATGCCTTGCAATATTTGTGGCAAACTATCCTTGTAACAAACTGAATGCACTATGGAAATGTCATATGGAGCTCACTGTGCAATATTAAGTCAATACATTGTACACAGTTGATCAAAAGATTAATATTAATGTTTAGATAGTATTTATTGGTAAGATGTTTGTTTCAAATATACTACATTGTGTTGATACTTATGAATGGCCTAAATACAATAAATTGTATTTTACATATTGAGAACACGTATATAGTCATTTTTCCCATCAGTTAGGTACTTGCAATGGTAGCTGTATTTTCTGGTTTGTTGGCATTCACTTTTTGCACCATACAGTTTCTTAGATCATTTGCCTAGCAAAAATCTAGGGTGAAATCCAGATCTACCAGAAAATTGCTTCTGGAATATCTTCTGGAAATACCGAAGGTGAGCCGCAGAAACTGAGAGCAAGCAATTCCTTGAAAGTACCTGAAACTCCAACTGAGCTCCTTCTGTATTGAGTAGGCCAGAATTCAGGTTGTGTTCTCCCCCTGAGAAGGATCAAAGCGAACGTGATGTTCTCTTTCCAGACCCTCATTGCCGTACCCAGGAACGCACTGGAAAATGCAGCGTGTGTGTTTTGTGGGAGGGCAGGATTCTCCTCTCATTGCAGTGGGATGCCAGTGAAAGCTGGGCACCAAAGTGCTGTCGAGGGCTCAGGCTATCACTGTTCGGGTAAACCGTATTCGCAGATCACCTTGAGATGCAGCAGTTCAGCTTTCTGCCCTGTCAGTAGAGGAGAACTGCTGGGGTCAGCTGTCCTCCCCACTGTAGTGTAGGTTTTGTGGTCAGCATGAAGGTGGTTGGTGGAAGTGCTCAGTTTAGACACTGAAAAAAGCACCTCCTTAATTTAGGAACATTGGCTCATTTTTTTTTCCTCTGAGGGGCTGGGGGAAGTGCTGAGCCAGCTTATTCTGAGTGACATCAGTGCCCAAACCATCCCCAGTTCCAGTGAGGATGAGGCTGACATCGCATCTTGCACTTCTTGCAGGGAGAAATCCTGTGGTTCTAGCACTTCAGGGCCCCTCTCTGTGGACTCGTAAGCCGAGCTGCACGGACTTGGCACCAGTGAAATACCACCTTTCTGCTCCTGAGGTAATGGTGGAAGCCATGGAGCAGGACAGGCCTCAACTTCCCGTCGGATAAATGAAGACTGAGGAACAGGGCACTGACACATCCATTGTGTTTCTTACTTACTAAATGTTGGCTGGGGAGGCCTTGGAAAACCCAGCGTTTTGAAAACCCATCCCTGCTTTGGCCTGTCAAGCTACATCTGCCTCGGAAACACCTCTGTGCCTTTCCAGAGGGAGAGGTTCTAACTCACGTCTTGTCCTTTCCCCAGTGTGCCCCAGCCATGGAGAAGCAGCTCTGGGTGCAGCCGTGAAGCAGCAGTGTCACATCCCTGGCCCTGCCCTCCTGACCCGCTCCTCAGCGCAAGCCAGGAGGTGAAGGAAAAGCAGTGCCAGAAGGCTATGCAAGCAGGCTACAGCCAGGTCAAATGTACGGAGAGCAGGGAGCTATAGCTGGGGCAAAGTCACTGTCAGACGGCTCTGTCCTGTTAAACAAAAATGCTATATAAACAGGAAGGGTGGAAAAGGATATCGCTAGAGAAAGAGCAGCCTCTCCCTCTTGCTCTCCTGCTGTGAGGAATGCAATAGGAAATTCCCACTCCAGGATTAACAATCGTAAAGAAAACTCTAGTTTAAAAAGCGTGTGTGTAAAGCACTGGTGAAAAGTAAAGATATCGTTTCAGCTACTGCTCTAGCACATAAACACAGACTAGATTTCCCTGCTTAAAAACAAAACAAAAGCCAAATATGGGGATGTAAAACTAAGAGTTTGTCTTAGGAATGACTCTAAGAGATCAGGCCAACTCTTGATAGTGATCTGAGAAATTCCAATAGGATTTATTCCAACCGTCTATTTTTAGATTTTCTAACGGGGATGTAAAATGGAGACAGAGCGCTGTAACTCAAGGTAGGTGGAGCACGGGCGAGCAGCCCCGTGCTGTCGCGTTGGGCACCTTGAGCCCATTGTGCAGCGAGAGCTGAGAATCACGGAATGGGTTGGGTTGGAAGGGACCTTGAAGATCACCTAGTTCCAAGTCCCCCGCTATGGCCAGGGACACCTCCTGCTAGACCAGGTTGGTCAAAGCCCCGTCCAACCTGGCCTGGAACCCTCCCAGAGGAGGGAGGTGACCCTGCGCAGGCAGCACCTTTCCCAGTGCTTTGCACCGGGCCTCCGTGCGACCCTCACCCGCAGGCTGGCGCTGGGCAGGAAGCCGGGGTGTGCCTGCCATGGATCCGTGCAGGCGGTCTGTACAGGAGTTTTGGTGAGCTGTTGGGCAGCTGATGGTAGCCACAGCTCGAAGGGCACAGCTGGGACGGAGCGGAGGCCTCTGGCTGAGATGTCTCTGTGGTGCTGCGCAAATGACGCCACTCGGCCCGTTTGGTTCTCAGCCATTTCATTTTACACCAGAAGCAGTGAAGGGCCCAGCCTTTGCGCCACAAAGGTTCTAATCCTAAATTTTGCCTGGAATCAGAAAGTAAATGTCTGGTCAAAAGCATTTGTCTGGTAAACACACAGCGCGCTCACCCTACAGTCCTAGAAAACCTGAAGCTCCTTTGATGCAGTGAATACAGCTTCGAGCCACTAATGGGGGGGGGGGGGAACGCACTTTACAGTGAGCATCCGGCACCTCCGCGCTCTGCCCGGCTGCGCAGGGAAAGCCGCGGCTTTGTGCAGAAGGTGCCCTCCCCAGGGCGGCGGCCGCGGCCGCTCCCCGGCAGCGCCCCGAAGCGAAGCGCTGCGGGCCCCGCCGGCCCGGGGGCGGCTCCCCCCGCCCCGCGCCCGGCTCCCCGCCGCGCCGGGCCCCGCCCCGGGGGAGGGCAGCGCGGAGCGGAGCGGCGCGGAGCGGAGCGGCCCGGCGGGCCGGGGCGGGCCGGGCCGGGCGGAGGGGCCGCCCCGCCTCTTAGTCGGCGGCAGCTGCTGCTGCGGGGCCGCAGCCGCCGTGGGCCGCCGCCATGCCGGGCTCGCTGAAGGAGGAGACGGCGCTGCTGCTGGAGGATTACTTCCAGCACCGCGGCGGCGGCGCCGCGCTGCCCCCCAGCCCCACGGCGGCCGCGCTGCGGCGGGCGGCGGCCGAGCTGGAGCGGCGGGAGCGGCCCTTCTTCCGCTCCTGCGCGCCGCTGGCGCGGGCCGAGCCGCGGGAGGCGGCCGCGCTGCTGGGGCGGGTGGCGGCGCAGCTGGAGGCCGACGGCGGCCTCAACTGGGGCCGGCTGCTGGCGCTGGTGGTCTTCGCCGGCACGCTGGCCGCCGCGCTGGCCGAGCGGGGCTGCGGCGACGGGCCGCGCTGCCTGGCCGCCGCGCTGGCCGCCTACCTGGCCGAGGAGCGGGGCGAGTGGCTGGAGGCGCACGGCGGATGGGTGAGCGGGGAGCGGGCGGCGGGGAGCGCGGGGCGGGGCGGGGGATCGGTCCCCGGGAGGACCGAGGGTGAGGAGCCGGGAGCTCGGCCCCCTCCGCCCGGCTGGCCGAGCAGGGCAGCCCCCCGGCGCCGTGCTGCGCCTTGGTCCGGGGGGGGGCACTGCCGGGGCTGCGCCTTGGTCCGGGGGGGGGCACTGCCGGGGCTGCGCCTTGGTCCGGGGGGGGCACTGCCGGGGCTGCGCCTTGGTCCGGGGGGGGGCACTGCCGGGGCTGCGCCTTGGTCCGGGGGGGGCACTGCCGGGGAAACGTGCCAGGGTGCCCACCGGTGATGGCGTGTGCGGCCCCGGCGGGGAGGTCTCCGCGGGGAAGGGCCGCAGAGCATCTGCGGGGGTCTGGTTAATTCGTAGCGACACGCAGCGGGTGCCCGCTGGGGCACTTGCGGTGCCTGCGGGTGTCCCGTGTTGCGGCTTAGGCCCGTTCTCTAAAGATGCCAGTGGCCAGTTTTGTCAGGCTGCAGCCTCCTAAAAATACAGCAGCAACGCAGCTGGCGCGCGGGGGGCAAGGTTAACCGTCTCCTCGGGTCCGCAGCCTGTGGATTTTGGAGAGAGGCTGGCACAGGTCTCTTCCCAAGCGCAAACACGAAACACCGATGTGCCTGTCCGTACATACGCCTGTGTGTGAAGCCACCCATCTGCTAGACCTGCTGCTCTGGTTCCTGCTTGTCCTGAAACTGGTCAGGCGGGGGCTCGGGAAGGTGCGGGCAATAGCGTTAATGTACGTTGCAGTGTAAACCGATGGCTGCTGCTGCTTTCTGCCACTCGAGATGCGTGCCGAAAGTATGGCTTTTAAGGCGTCCGTGCAGCTCTGCCTGCATTTCTGAACAAAATGTCAGCTATCCCGCAGAACTGCACGTTTCCTATCTCCAGTCCTAGTGGAATATTTGATGCCAGCACAAATAAGCACTAAAAATAGAAGGCAGGGGGAAGCAGCCACTGGTTTCGTTGAGTTTTCCAGAGACCAAAATGAACTTGGTTTTCCAGTGGTCACTGGTCCATCTGACTGCTCAGAACAGTATGGTGGTTGGCTACAATGTACGCTGTCGCTTGGCAAAATCACACTGCCTGTTCGCACAAATTAAAGTGTAAAGAACAAAGTTCCGGAAGAAATTAAGAGTATAACTTGTTTACATAGACATCTGCGGAGCAGAGTTCAAACACGACCATCTGGAGTTGTATTGCTGCCACTTCTGATTATCACAAATAACGATCTGGGAGAGCAGCTGCCAGCTTTGCGCTGTCGTAGGTCGGCTCTGAGCAGTGTCCACTTGGCCCTTCCCAGAGCGTGTGTGAGCTCAGCCCCGCGCCCGCCGAGATGGGACCGGCTCCGGGCTCCTGTCTTTCAAGTGGAAATTTCCATATCCTGTGTTTCAGATGCTTTCTGAAACTTGAATGAGGGGGAACAATGCTGGCAGCTCCCATCAGAAACTTGCCTAAAAGGGTGAAAAAAACGTAATGACATACTGAGCATCTTGATAGGAAGTTTGCAATTGTCTTTTGAGAAAAGCCTACAGATGCTTGTAGCTGCTCTCCAAAGGCTCTCACAAAGCATTTTTGTGTGCCCAAGGCAGCAGGCTTAGACCGTCATGGTTAGAATAGAGGCTTCTGCAGCTGACGAACGCCGTGCTGGGAGTGTGAACGAAACTGTGCTCAAAGACTGCTTAAAAGAAATCCAGTTCATTGTAAGCCAACCAACTCAATGTCCTTTCTCTTGCTTTTCTAGGATGGCTTCTGT